CACCACCTTCCTGACGGTCCCCGGGATGAGTGGAATGGGAGGGAAGGCATAGAGAAGGCCCGGGGGCCACCGGCTCCTGAGGGCATCCGTGCCCTCTGCCAAGCTGGACTGGAAGCGGGTGAAGAACCGCGGGAGCTGGGAGTTCTCAGGGGACGCAAACAGGTCCACCTGAGGGGACCCGAACCATTGACAAATTTTCCGGAACAGCGATGGGTGGAGTTGCCATTCGCCATTGTCCAGGGTCGCCCGACTGAGCCAGTCCGCTTGGACACTGGAGAGCCCCGAGATGTGGTCTGACACCAGGGACTGCAGGTGATTCTCCGCCCAGGACCCCAACCTCAGAGCCTCCAGCCAGAGTGCCCTCGAGTGGGTCCTGCCTTGGCGATTGATGTGCGCCTTGGTGGCCACATTGTCCGTCAGGAGGAGAACATGACGCCCCTCCACCGAGGAGCGGAAGTGACGCAGAGCCAGTCATGCAGCCTTCAACTCCAGCCAATTGATGTAGTGGCGGAGGTCCGTGGCCATCCACCTGCCCTGCGCCATCCGGGAGCCCACCAGAGCCCCCCACCCAAACAGACTCGCGTCCGTGGTGACAGTCACCCTGTCCGGCTCCCAGAAGCAGCAACCCCGCTGAATGGCCGGGGAAAGCCACCATGCCAGGGAGGTGCAGACTCCCGTCGGGAGGCGGAGAGTCCGAAGAGAATTGCTCAGGTGTCCTCTCTGAAAGGGGATGAGTTCCCATTGAAGGGGCCAAAGATGAAGCCTGGCCCACAGGACAATCCCGATGCAAGAGACCATCTTGGTTTTGGTTTTGCCTTTATCTGTATGCCGCCCTTTTCCCTGAGGGGACTCAGGGCGGCTCACAATTCTTGCCCAACAACTGTGACAGAGAGAGGATGGAAGTGGACTGCCTTGCGCGAACGCTCTCCGCCAGGCGATGGAGGCCTACCTGTCGCTCCTGAGACAGACGCACCACCCCCAACCTGGAATCTATGACTGTCCCCAGATGCAGGATGCGAGTGGAGGGGGTAAGATGACTCTTGGCGAAGTTCACCGAGAACCCCAGGTTCTGAAGGCTCCGAATGGTGAGCTGCAGATCTGAGATGGCCTGAGAAAGGGACCCCGCCTGAACCAAGACATCGTCTAGATAACATTGGAGACGAACCGGCACTGACCGCAGATGAGCCGCCAGAGCAGCGAGGACCTTCGTGAAGGTCCGCGGGGCCGAGGCCAGGCCAAAGGGGAGAGCCCTGTACTGGTAGTGGAGGGACCCGTGAGAGAACCTCAAGAACCGGCGATGAGCGGGCAGTATGGGAATGTGAAGATAGGCCTCCATGAGGTCCACGGAGGCCAGGAAATCTCCCTTTCTGATACCCTGAAGGATAGATTTGAGGGATGACATTTTGAACCGCCTGTACACCAGGAACCTGTTCAGGCGTTTGAGGTCTAGAATTGCTCTCCAGCCCCCCGTGCTCTTCGGGACCACAAAGAGATTGGAGTAGTGGCCC